ATAATACGCTTATTGTTAGCTTAATAATCTCTAACATTTTTATGAACCTAATTTGTCGTGAACACACACGCTTCGAGTGGCAAATAATTTATTTTCGGTGAGGTAGTTCTTGTACATTTCCCGTCTCTCCAAGTCTTGTTAATTTGTTACCACGTCACTTTACCGTTCTCTACGAGCACACTTCACGAACGTTTGAGGACCGTTGTTGTGTCAAAGGATACACTTTGCCGGGTGTCGAACATGTGTGAGAGCAAATAATATATAGTCGTCCCCATCCACTCCACCGTTCGTTTCTTCGAGATCCACCCACATGATCGCGATCATTCTCTGATGAAAATCTGATGACTCCCATAAACACGGGAGCGCGAGATACATGGGATGAAGGCGGCACCGGTGGGTCTCTCATTACTTGATTCGGGACTCGGCTCGACAACTGGCCGATCTCGTATCGGACGCATCTATCTGGAGCACCCAGATACATAGGCAGCCTCCACCTGTACGGTGCGTCAAAACGCGAGATCTTTCAGCGGATATGTATCGCGATTTTCGACGGGGTGAGGTAGTGCAATATATTTTGCGCCAGCAAAATACATGTATGATTTATCCGCCGCGCATTGCGATACGGAGAAAATATCGTTAATATACGTATCCATGATTTATTGACCTTGCGCGAGTATCGGTTTTCGTAGCGAATAATGCCTGTATAATAAATCACGATTATTAGCTTATACACTGGAATTATATTAATCTCTTCTCATTTCTGATTTCGAAATCGCGTAACAACAACTGGAAATCAAGTTGAGAATTATTAATGAGATTCTTTATGAAAGAAGAGTCAACGAATCGAATGACGCAACATGACATGATCACAGATTTGAAGAAGAATTTTTGGTACCATTCATTTTGCTTGACATTCGTTGGTACAACGATATGTAGAATGTAGGAAAATTTATTTGACAATTTTATTTATCTAAAATATTGTTTTACTGGCAACGGCTAAAATGTCGCGTCGATCAGAATTATTGTACCTAGAATATCAAAGAATAATTCTCGAGTACTAAATTTTCGTAGAAAACGCCATTCGATAAGGTTGGTTTCTGTAAGATCGCTGAAACTGTTGCTTTCATGTCTCTCTTCAACTTGTACCGAATAATGGTATACTCACTGCTGTTCACTGATAAAATATCATGGAGAGTCATTACTTTTAAAAAACTACTGTGCACTAACCAGCGCTAACGTCCTCTCCGCAAACGTTGTAATAAAACGAGAAGTAGCGAGTAAAACAATATGTAAATGGTAACGGAAGAAATACAGTAATGTAAAAAGACGTAATCACATAGTGAATCCATAAAATTGCGAGATATCAATATAATCGAAAATCGTGAAATTAATGTAGAACAATTTCTGAAAATTAATATATGAAGAGTCTTACTGTGTTATATATTTGCGATTATATTGTTCTCATTTCTTTCATGTTATATATTTTCTCTTTATCTCTTGTTAATTATAAAGTTAAAAAAATATGAAGATTTTTAGGCAAACATATAATTTCGAAATGTAGGGAATATATTTTTAATTAATTTAGATTATTGTTAGTTTTAAAAATGATATATTTATGGATAAGGAAAAGAGCTATTCTCTTGCATTAAAAAGTTTCTATATTTTCCAATTGATAACTTAGAAAATAGCAAATAAACTTACACAAGTATTTTGTTTCATGAAGTATTATTATTTATTAGCACAATAATAATAATTATTATTACATACGATATATTCATAAACTTATGTCTCTCCAAGTGATTGATTAATGCGGATACATGTTACGGGGAACGTAACGATACAAATACATATATTTATATCACAGTCGTAGATAATGAAATTAACATTAATTCGAAGTTACATTATTTATTTAAATGTCTAGAATATACGCACCTCCCCGGATTTTTTTTCTTCCTAAAGAAATCTGCGACTCACGTGACCAAAATGCGCGTATAAATCCTGCGTTAAAGCATTACGTCTGTTTCACGATAACATGATAAAAAAATTCCTCCGGGCGAGTCTAACTTAGAGATACTGACACGCTAATTAATCTTAATCGCTAAAGGTTTGATTCGCAATGGATATGAAGCGAAAGTTTCGAAGCGATACAAACGATGATGACGCTGAAGGAATGTCGAACGATTTGCGCAATTGATTCTAAGGATAAAATCAAGTCGTTCTAATGACCACTATTACTACATAGGTACTTATTGTTAACTGTGTTTAGATACGCATGGGATGGTGAAACCAGTCTTCTTGCGAACGTCGTTAAACGACATTTTCGCGCGCGATTTTCTCAAGAAAACAATTTTCCGCTTCGTGCAGAAAGAATACTCGTCTCCGTCTTCACTTATGGACCAGGTACATCCAAGTGAAATAACATGAGAAAATTTTAAAACTTGGACATAAGATTAAAAAGATGTAATTCATGATATATTCTAAAAAAAAAAAAAAATATTTAGATAAAACTATAAAAATTCAAACCGTGTGAAATCTTAAAATCATATCCTGAAATCTTAAAATTTTAATCTCACGGTAATAATACTTTAACTAGAATATAGTATTTCAATTAGATATTTAGAAAATAATTCTCTAATATTATTTCACTTGGACAGAATTATAATGATCTAGATATTTTAACATTTTACCGAGCGTACACGTTGTCGACAACAAGATCGGGATATTCTACCGAAATCTACGGACACATTAACGAGCCGAAACGATAGGAAGTAGAATTCGTAATACATGGACATGTCATGCACGTCGATCCGACTCTAATTTTCTAATTAATAATCTATTTATTTAACATCGTAATGGGTTATTCGCGAGCGTTACGAGCGTACTGGAAACAATGCTGACGCGAATTTATCGTAATAATCTAAATTACAAAATGTGTACTGTGGACTGTGACCTTTTTCAAGTCTTACGGAAGCACGGATCTTGTTCGAATATCAATTAATTAAACTCGCTTTCTTATCGTTTCATATACTTTGGCACACAATGTCTGTTTCCAATACTCTACACGCTCGTAATCTTACAATTTATTTTGCATGAACGTTCGGCAGTATTTTGTTTTTTTGATTCATATATATATATATATATCGACTTCTACATCGCTTATCGACGCATAAATCTTATATGTGTATTTATAATTTTATTATGATTCCGCTATAGAGACGTCAATGAATTATTTTACGTTGACATTCTACTTTACGAAGAGCTGGCTCTTCTTTGATATATACTTTGTTCCACAAAATCTCTTCTCTGATATTTTATATAACATTATTTCAATTACTAAGTCATAATATTTCACACAACGTTCTAACTCTTCGAGCTGATTTACATAAACTCGCATTACATCTTTTCATTCGGTATATGCTGAATCAGCAACATGCCCTATCTTTTCTCCGAGTGACAATGGCAGAGATACGAATAGATTTTTCCTTCAATTAAAGATAATTGCCACTTCATCTTTAAGTACTTCCTTTTGAAATTATTGGCTTTTTACCGTTAAATGCAATCGGGAAGGCATTAAATTTAGCTTCGTCGTAACGATGGCAATTATTAACACTGCATAATGCACTTTGAAAGCCTTCTTGATGCCATTTTCACCGCGGTAGCGTATGCCTTTAATTATAAACCGTACATTTCCTTCACACTCGCCGGGGAGAAAGCTTGTCTTTTCACGATGAATAGAGCAACAATGTACATACAGCCGATGCGATGTTCCCGGAAGTATGTTTCGCATATATTTGCATGATTCTTTCTAACCGCGCTTGGTTTCGTGTCAAGGTTTTGCGTCTTTGACATTCTATAGCGAAAGCGCTTGTTTTTACATCGAGAGATCGGGACACCGCCCTGTTTGAATCTTTAAAGACAATATAAAACTAATATACGCAGAATCATCGCGTACATGTAAAGCAAAAAGAAATAAAAATATGTATGATATATATTTCTTTCTTTATTTTAGATAAAGTAAAAAGTTTGCAAATTTATTTTCGTGATAATTAAAGTGAATTATTTCCATCATTTATAATATTATTATAATCTTTTCAATTTTTAATTAAGATAATTCTTTTCCTTATTTTTATATTCGGAATTAAATTAGAAGTTTAATCGAATTCACGCGATGCAATAATGATAATGAAATAATTTATTAGAACAGTTATCGCGAACGGACCGTAACGTTCGATAGAGTCTTCCTTTTCGTTCATAGTAAATTTACGACACTGATAATCTTGATGGCGAAGGACTCATTGAACAGAAAGAGAGTAGAACAGCGAGCTACGTGACTCAGATAGTTTGCCTCGGGGAAACTTTCTGTTTCGCCTCGGGGCTGCAGTCAGGATTCGCAGTCGCAGACATCAATCGCAATCGCTCTCGAGAGTACTTAGAAGGATTGATGAATGTTCCGCCTTGGCCTGCGGACGACTACGTCTCGTAGTTCGCTCTCGTGACACTAACGGATTAGTCTATCTCGAGTAAGACACGTCTCCTTTTCCCTGTCACCTCTTCTCATACTTCTTTGTCTCTTCGAGGCCCTTCGGGTTCGACTTTTCTATCCCTCGTTTCTCAAACAACAGGTGACAAGAGGTGATTTCTCAGACGACGGTCATGTTACGCGAAAAATGAAGATAACGGAATCGGAATTCAGCGCGCGTCACCTTACCTAATTTACGCCATTAACTCTTATCAAACTAGTTGGATGATTATATCGGAAAGGGGCACACGAGAAGATAAAGATGAATTCGAGTAAAACTACGGAAGCCGCGGGGGCTCTTCGAGAAAAAAAGAGATAGTTTATCCGCCTTTCCTTCGTCTCGTTAAAGCTTTATCGATATATCTCCTCTTTTCCTTTAACTTGGCTCTCCGAAATGCGAAGGGGGATCGATGGGAACGGGTGACACCAAACCGTGATTTTCGCAACTAGTATCCGTTTATGTGCTGAAAGTTACTTTGTAGGCTTAAAAATAACCGCGCATATTTTATCTCGTGTCGCGAACACGAGTGAGAAATTTGAAACGGTGTTAAATATCCGAGGCTTTTGAAATACAAGCTGCTTTGTAACGTAGCGTAATTTATCGAACGAAATATAAACACAAGAAGCTCTTTCGTTAATATCGTGTCTCGAATTTCCCGTTGCACAGAGATCGAATATTGATTATTTATTGTCGCTAACTTATTACGTAATGATACATTTGCAATGATTCACGTTTCGAGAATTGTCGGAGATATTCAAATACTCCTTTAATCCCGTGGATATACGAGACGACTTACCTTGTATGATGAGAGGTTGTCAATAGTCTCGCGCCAGAGAGTGAAGCAAGTACCGCGTTCTGCTAGTAAGATTTGAATCCGTCTCTTAGATCTTGACCGTGTCTCGCCAAGATCGAGAACCACCACGGGTATCCCGGTGAAACGAAGCTCCCACCTCTCTGTCTGAGAGGCGCTGCCGAGATATAAGTTCGCCAGCGACTCGCAGACGAATACCTGCGAAATATCGCACAGCTTTTTAATAATTATATCTCTTAAAAATAATATACACGATTATATATGTACCTACGTTTATATATTTTACGACGCATTGTGTATATAAAAATTCTTTTGCATTTATTTCATTTTTGCATTAATTTACGTAATTAATTATTTCTTAATTAATGCATTTATTAATGCATATATGGCTTGACACGGTCCTTGTGAAGCTTACCTGCGATTTTAATCCGCGAAAGAAAGTCTCGAGTTGTTCTCGTTCCATTTGATTGACGGGATCGAGACGCGACTCATCGCTGTTTTCGGAGCTGTCGCTACCCTCGTAACTCGATGTGGCGGAAGTGTCCGCCTCTCCTGTCGAAGATAATCGTCTTCGCGTAGTGCCGCTATACTCACTATAATAGGATGAGCTGTGCAGCGAGAGATTCGATTGCAATGCGGGACAGGATGACGCATAAACTGGTCCGTTCATTGTTGCCTGGGAAAGAAAAAAAGGAGATGTCAGAAATACATAAAAGTTTGACTGATAATTTCGTGAGAACGCGCTTATCTATGTTTGCTTATCGCTTTATCCACATTTCACTGTTCATAAAAAAAAATAATAATAAAAAAATTTGCAGATAATCTCTGGCTCCCGAAGAGATTATAATAGTGATTTTTTTGTCCAGCATTTTTTTTAATGCATTTTATGCATTTGTTTTTCATACTAAAAGTAAAATATATAAATGTATGTATAAAATTTATTATACAATATTGTATTCATTACGCGATATTGGAATACACTGGGTGCAGAGGGAGTTTATTATTTTGCGAAGGGAGAGAGAAAATATACCTCTGCGTGCGCGCACGAAAGCTCATCGATTTCTAGTATATAACTGAATTGTACGCGAGTACCACGGTACCGGCCTATAAATATCCACAACGCCCTTTATTAAACATAGCTCCGAGTACCCCAGAAATTTTGATTGTCATCGGAAAATGGACTCGTCGAATGAGAGCGAAAGTTAGAATCGTGGCACGATCCGGCCTATTTACATTCTAAATGGTCACGCTAAACTCAGAGTTTAGGCAAATGATAATATTATAGCTGACAATTAATCGGGATACAAAGGATCTTTAGAGGATCTGTATGGGAGAAATATTTTATCGACGAAAAACCAAGACTCTAAAATTCAACGAGAAATGTCAAAATTGAATATATAAAGTTTGCAGCACGCTTCGTTATTGAATTAAACAATACAAAAGATACCGCATTGCGGATCGATTGTTGCATGTACAAAGCGAGAGAGCAATATTTGCGATATTTTTTAAATCCGCCTGATGGGAAAATTGCACGATTTACGAGCATAGTATAAAAAGCGAATGAGAACGTTTCATAGGGGTGGACGATCCCTTTACTCCGATACCTGACCTCAGAAGTGAGAAAAACTAGGTCGTCGACTTCGATACTACAATGACGCAAGAAAGAAAGAGAGAGAGAGAGAGAGAGAAAAGGAGAGAAAAGAGAGAAGGAGATACCAGCAACCATTTCGTGAGAGAGCTAATCAGCCAACGGCATCCGGGAGCGACCCACTTAATGCGCGCGAGAAAAGCCCGGCCTTAATTCGATCGACGTGCTTTTAATGAGACTCGCCCGGATGATAGGTCGTCGACTTCGATACTACAATGACGCAAGAAAAAAAGAGAGAGAGAGAGAGAGAGAGAGAGAAAAGGAGAGAAAAGAGAGAAGGAGATACCAGCAACCATTTCGTGAGAGAGCTAATCAGCCAACGGCATCCGGGAGCGACCCACTTAATGCGCGCGAGAAAAGCCCGGCCTTAATTCGATCGACGTGCTTTTAATGAGACTCGCCCGGATGACTAATCGCTATACCTATATGTTATCAATCGCTCGGCTCGTTCCTACAAAGAAATTCTACTACGAGCTCGATAATGGGGACGAGCGACCCCTTCATTGATGACGGTGACGAGGTCTGATACGCGATCATGTCAATGATCTTCTGGCACTTGACGAGCGCATTCTTTCGTTACTCACGATCGCCGCTGACGCATCGCGTCGCCGTTTAATAATCCCATTGATCCTTAAATAAGTAGAGATAGAGAAATGCTAATAGAAAATTATTTTTTCGATGAGGAACGTAAGCGACCCGTTTATTCATACTTTATAGAAAACTATTGTTTTACATATATATTTTTTTTCAATATCCAATATATACATGTCAAGCTTATGCCATATGCGCGTTCGAATAAATTTAACGAGTAACAGAAATTTTTCTCAGTTTAGGTTGACAAATTGTGTATATATGCATTTTACACGTTTACCAGATTGTTATCAAAAAGCAATAGAAATTCTTTTAATTAAAAGATACATAGCCGCGAAATACGTAGGCCAATCAAACTAAATTTCTATGATAATATTAAATTGAATGCAAGTGCGGAATACGGGAAAGTTTGAGAATTGATTCCTCTTTTTCTTAATTAATACGGTAAATTATGATAGACGCTTTCAAAGTTTACTTTTGTAGACCGGAAATGAATGAGAATTTTTCTCAAGTTAATTGGCACGATGGAATGTTGTCACGACAGAAATTAATCATATTAATTTTATTTGTCAGTATAATGTACACTTTAGCAGGATATCATATTAATGATTGCAAATTGGACGAAAAAGTCTCGCAGTCAAGATTATTTATTTTCGACATCGTATTATAGAGATAGAGAAAGAGGGAGAAAACTCCATATTATAGAGATAGCGCGGGGCTAATGCATTAATATTGATTTATGTAAATTCAATATCTTCTCCTACGGGTTTCTCGTAAAAGGAAAATAAATACACCGGGGACACACACCCGGCAAACGACTCTCCCTTTCACAATCGACCCGCATCTACTTCGTACCAATATCGTACGTGTGCGTAGATATTACGGTAACGTTACAAATTGAAACGCGAGCCGGTCCGTGTCACCGCGTGCGCGAAATGCACACCGGAAGTGCATTGTCCACGTCGCGACCGGGGATGCGCAACCATTGTTCCGCGCGCGCGATAAGAGACGGGCCCGGCTTCGCTCCGTTCCCTAGATAAACTGCAGATAATTACGATCGCACGCTCCCCTGCGAGCGCCCTGTTTTGCATTCTCACGAAAACCGGCGCACACGCTCCGCTTCGGGAGGTAGAAAATAATTGTCAGACGTATTAATTGGATTGCGGCGACGGTACAGACGTGACTTTGTGTGAGACTTCCTTTCTTCTTGAGTAAAAGTATCTAGGTTTCAGTGATTCTTCTAACGCGCGTCACGATTTCTCGCATTAGAGATTTTTAATAGCCTTACAAAAAAAAACACACTAAGGTTATACGTTGCTAATTATTACAAAATTGTTTATAATTACACGTTATCACGTTGATTGAGCTATTGAATATAATATCGTTGAAAATGCGCGAAGAATTTTTTTCACGAGAACCATTTAATAATCTTCTCTTGGAATCATAATAAAAAACTGTGTCTAAATTCAGAATAAAATCAATTATGCAAGAAACAATTCTTAATTTAATATTTAGTAAAAAAATTCATCAGTTCTTGAATCTTATATATTTAAAAAAATCTTTTTCTCTCTTTTTGCGATAATAACTTTATTTGAAGAAATATAGAAATATAAAACTGCATTTTTTAACTGCATTTTTTTTTGTGTATTTAGCTATAATTCCAAACATTTTAATGCATCACGTAACAATGATATCTTTGCTTCAATTTTTTCTTGCATCACTGACGTAAAGTTTCGCTCAGTTGAAATTTAACAGGCACGTTCACGCTTTTTGTCCCAAACGAGAAGTTACGTAGGCGTTCACGACACGATGTTGCGATTGTGACACGAAAAGACACGCTGGAAAGTAGGACAGCGGTAGTGTTTCTTATCGCGTCAATTAAGGGGCGATAAACAGCGCGGAATGCACTTAAGGATTAAATTCGTGGACGTGTCGCGATGGGGTTAATTGCGGATGATATTCCGCGCGCAGGATGCGACCGGACGACGAATCGTTATGGAAGACGAATCGTTATGGAAGTCGAACCGATAGAAGTCGCCCATAAAATAAATCGTCATAACTATGCGTCATTAGAGACCCGAGATGAATTTGCTGGCGCGAATAAAAAACTATTCTGAACTAAATAAATCGCGAAAGAGAGAGCGTAATCTCGAAGTGATATCGAGAGGAATTTATATCGTCATGATCCAAATATATATTCGTCTGAATGGTACCTAAAAAGACGTATAATATTGATACGATATCGTATCGAGAAACGATTCGAAGTAAGTTAGCGAGCAATCGTTTCGATAAAGAAGTTCGAATTAAGCGATTTCTTTTCGGCACTAGACGCGAGACGATTCGACAGACACGTCGCCCGCTCGTAGAGATGAAAGATTAATTACTGCCAGACTAATTAGTTTTGTGGCTGCAACGGGGTTAAACGCTCCGGCTGGAAATTTATAGCTCGTCCGGTGCGGCGAACGCTCCGTCAAGCGTGAAACGCGCTCGCAATTAAAAGTAGGTAACCCGGAGGCCTTCGGCTCTATTGTCGGCCTGTCCGGGTTTAGAGCGCCGTTCTTCCGCGGGTCATTCGTTTTGATTAGCCGTACACAGAGCGTGCGCGTACACAGTTAATTGCTTTCTTTTGTAAGCCGCGCGGAAATTCGGCTCAACCCTTGCTTCGCAGAACCGCTTCCATAAATATTAGTTAGGGCTCTAACCACGCGGTATAACTGATTTTCCGTCTCTTTCTAAAAATAGAACGCGAACGTAAAGTATTAAATCTCGGTTAACATTGATTAAAATTTATGGATTGTAATCGTGTAAGTACAATTTTATATGTGAAAGTTTTTATAAAATTTATTTAGCTATAGTGTTGTTTGATCGCGAGAATCGATAGAGAAATATTCCTCAACAATCCACCATTTTTATTTTGAGTAGTTAGAAGAGTCCGATGCTCAAACATCTTTAGAATGCTGTTTTAGGTGCGGCGATGCATCTCTCGCTCTCGACGACGCGAGATGCGCGTCTCTTTGCTCGTGATATTCTTCCCGGATCTCTCTCTCTCTCTCTCTTTTTTACTTTCATCTCCTGATAGACAGCAGCCTCTTCTTCTTCTCGCGAAATAGATAGTCGTGACGGCACAATAAACGCGAGTACAAACGACGACGCGATCTATCGACACGACTTTAACCCGCCCGACCATGTTTCGTCTATTTCTCGTCCTCTACCCGTCTCTCGATTTTCGTCCATTTCAGTTGCTGCTTCTCGTTTTCCGTCATCTCCTCCTCCGTCTCTGCCCCATTGTCTTTTCCATCTCGATGCTCCATTGCATTCACCGCATTACATTTCCCCGTTGTGCACCGTGACGTACCCTTAGTTACCGGTGCATGTGCACGCGGGATGCATTCGCGGCGCGGAAATGCGGTTGGACGGTGCAACGACCGGCGAGAATC